AATATAGTATCTGCCCTTAAACTTTAAGTAACCCTTATTATTGATCGACTAGTTACTCTTACTAGATCGAGTCGTTCGCCTACTTATAAGCTTATCGATACGTTTAGTAGCAAAGGCGTCCCTCTACTAAGTACGTAATAGCTTATCTATAAACGATTAACTATCCCTATTTATAAGGTTATTTAGTAGCACCCTTGCTATTAAACGAGGTACGTATTATATATATCTAATAGCACTAGCAGCCGGATTAACTGCAGCAGTGCTTTAATCGCTATTACTATATATAGCGATATCGACTAGGGAGTTATTATAACTTCTCCTATCTATGTCCTTAATATATACTATTAATATAGCAAGGGCATTAATATACTTTAAGCCGTCGCGGAGTCTAGTAAGCCGCTTATCCTGCGCTTGCTTATTAACAATACGGGCTATAGCAATCTTATACTATAGGGTTAGAAACAAAGAATTAATATGTTAGGTCTCGCTATTATAATTAGGTCGCCTCGATAGGCTATTAGTAGGGTTGCTTACGCCTAGCCGATATAATATATTAAAATCAAACCTAGCGAGGTAGACGGCCTATCTAGCCTATCGACTTATAACCTATATAACCTTAGTAATCCTACGTAGGTTGTTATAGTCTATATAGACCTAAATAGGGTACTAAGCACTATTAAGATAATAGCGCTAATACTTAAAGGCCTCTACGATTACTAAGAGCTCTTACTCGTAGGTCTCGTAGCGACGCTTAGTATCGATTATTTTTTGCAAGAAGAAGGCGATTAGGTGCTAATAGGTATTATTAGCCTGCTATAATATAATAGCTAATATAGCGAACTATAAAGCGTTAGTCTTAATCCGGATCTGTTTGCTTAGTACGAAATAGTATAACAAAGGGACTTTAGTAAAGCGTTACTTTAAACCGTTAAAAGCGGCTTATGCTCTATTAGTCTATTTAAACTCTCTAGATAGGTTAGCCTTAGTTTTAGTAAGCTTAGTTAGTAGTATTACATGCCGCGAATAACCCTCGATAAATCGACGATAGAAGTTAGTAAAACCTAGGAATAATTAAAGCTCTTTAATACTAGTAGGTATTACCTATTTAGTAATAGTCTTAATCCGATTAGGATTAGCCTTAATACCCTTAGTTAATACGAGGAAGCTAAGGAAGGCTACCTCTTTAGTAGTAAAGGTATATTTAGAAGGCTTGCAATATAGTCTATAGGCTCGTAGGCGGTCGAGGACCTTACGTACTACGGCCTAGTATTCTATAATATTAGGTAAATAGGTGTAAACTAGGATGTTATCTAGGTAAACTATATAGAGATAGTCTAATAGGCCCGAAAGGGCCCGATTAATATAGGACTAGAATGTTATAGGGGCATTAGCTAAGCCGAATAGTATAACTAAGTACTCGAAATAGCTATAGCGAGTATAGAAGGCTGTCTTCTATTCGTCGCTCTTACGAATACAGATGCGGTAATAGGCGTCCTTAATATCTAATATAGTATAGTAGTAAGCGCTAGAAAGGCGATCGAGGGTCTCGTTAATAAGTAGAAGTAGATAGCGGTCCTTAATAGTAATAGTATTAAGCCTACGATAATCGATATACAGGCGTAGGCTACTATCCTTCTTTAGGACAAATAGGATAGGCGTACTAGTAGGGCTGTTACTATATCGAATTCGACTATTAGCTAGGTTCTTATCTAGGTATTTACGTAATATAGCAAGCTCTCGTTTACTAAGGTTATAGAGTAGCCTAAAAGGAACCTCCTTGCCCTATATAATATCGATCTTATAGTCCGTCTCTTTAAATATAGGCAGTATCGATACTAGGTAGTATTTAAACACATTAATATAGGTCTCTCGAATAGGCTATAGTATACGAGCAAGCTAATTAGGGTCTATACTATTAGGGGGCATAGGCTTATCGTTATTACCTAATAGGTCGACTATTAGGTTAGCTACGGCAGGTATCAGGTTGCCGATAAATAGGACCCTAATATCGTTAGGGCACTCGCTAACGTCGATATACTTAATATCCTCTTTCCTAGCGATTCTAAATCGCTACTATTAAAGGCCTAAGTCTATAGTTATAGCGTAGTGCTTAAGAAAAGAGTTACTAATAACAATAGTAGCTCCCCTATATAGGTTGTCTATATCTACTACGTAGGTAGTAAAGTCTAGTAGGCGCTTATTGCCGAGGTCGTCTTTTAGAACTATAGGAATATAGTAGGCCCTATAAGTTAAGTACTAAGCGTTATTAAACTAAGCAAGGGTTAGTAGGTTAGTTCTAGGCAATTGTCGAAGGTCTAATTGCTTAGCTAGGCAATAGCTAATAAGGGCACTAACCGAATTTCCTAGATCTAGCGTAACCTTAGTCTTATAGTTAGTTCTATATATATCCTATATAAGACAGGTGCGTATAATAGCTAGCACAATGTCGATAGTTTTACGCCGTACGAGGCTAACGGTTAGTGCGGCGCTTATTCCTTTTTCGACTAATTAGAAGGACCGATAGGGGTAGCATTAGCGGCTAAAAGGTTCTTTCGGTACTTAGCGGTAGTACGGTCGACTCGGGCCTAATCCCTAGGTTTATCGCATTAGCCTAGTAGATAGCTAGTGCTATTATAGTTAAAGCATTTCAATCCGGTTAGGAGGTTGCTATAGCTATTGTTATTAGCAGAGCGGTTAGTAGTACTATAGGGATACGAGCCCCTTCTACGGCCCCTATTACGGCCTCCTCTATATAGCCGCCGGCTACGGCCTCTTCTACGGTTATTATTACTATTCCTATTATTGTTAGTATTATTATTTTAGTAGGAACCTTAGTTTCCTCCGTAGGCACTATAGTTACTACGGTTAGTACTAGTTAGTCGGATCCTCGACTCTAGCTATTACTAAAGCTAAATAGCTCGTTTAGCTGTTTCTACTTCGACTATAAATTAAATACGTATTAGATTAGCCTATTCGAATACATAGCGGCGGTCTAATTTAAGGACTAATTCCTATCGCAATTTAGGGCGTATTTCCGAGATCTATATAGAATCGGTCTTAGCCGGAAGATTATCTTCGAGGGTCTTTAAGTAGGCCTCGAATAAGCGAGCCGTTTAATTAGTCTTTTACTTAGCTCGAAGGTACTAGTCCTAAGTATGCTATTGTCTTAGTATCGGGTTTCCGAGGGTGTCTAGTATAATTGTCTTATAGGTTTGCTACTAAACAGTAGTTTGGTTATTAAGGGAGTTAAAATAGTTATCCTAGGTGCGCTTCGGGTCGCTATTAATATATTATATAGTATAGACGACTAATAAGTAGTCGTTTAGGAGAGCCCTTAGTATATTGCGCTAGTTAAGCTTATAATTATATATATAATTATTATACTACTTGCGACTAGAGCCGTTAAACACGGTGTAGTCCTTAAGCTTAGTATCCTTCTTTTAGACGGGTAGTAAGGAAGGCCCTACTACTAGTTTAGTATTAGTTATTAGGGACTCCTATAGGCGGCGAATCTCGAGGAGATTATCCTTTAGCTGTTATTCTTAACGTAAGGCAGTAAGCCTATTCTAAGTAGCTTCTTAAAGTCTCGCTACTAGCTAGGGGCCGAAGGCTAGTTAGTTATATCGACGGTTAATAATATTGTTAAGAATGTCGTTAATAGGCAACGATAGGTTATCCCCTTCGACTATAGGTTCTTTAGTAGGCCCTCCGGTAGGCTCTTTAGTAGGCACTTTAGTAGGAACTATGCTACTAGCGTTGTTATTACTAGCGCTGCTAGCGGCGCTACGGTTGTTATTATTGCTTCGTAATAAGCCGGCTATTATAATAAGAGGTAACACTAATAATGTATTATAGGCCTCTATAGTACGGATATAGCGGAATTAGCGAGTATCGGTCTAGTGTAATTAACTTAGTATAATAGGCCGTATAGAAGGCCTTGCTTAATAATTAGTACAGTTATTCTAATAGAATAGTACGTATAGGTTCCGCTCTTCGGGCGTAATATAGTTAAATCGATAGTTTTCGTAGCTATACCGCTAAAAGCTTAAAATAAGGACTATCTAGCTACTGCCCTAAAGGGGTAGATCGAATACTATATAAGAAGGGTTATATTAGCAGGTAGATAGGGTAGTAGTAAATTAGTATAGTATTCGATAGAGATCTAAGAGGAGAGGGAGGAAGGCAGGCTAGTTAGCCTAACGCTAAGCGCTAAGCCCTGCCTAAGGCATTAGGACCCTAGCTTTACTTAGTCTAGTTATATACTAATTACGTATAACCTCTAATATATAGCAAGTACTATCTAGAATAATTATAGCAAGTTATATCCGAAACGCCTATAGTAAATACTACTAAAACCGCTTATAGCGAGTAGTAATACTCGAAACGCTTATAGTAGTAACTATCCGAGATATCTATAGCGAGTAGTACTACCTAGAACGCTTATAGCAAATACTATCTAAAATGCCTATAGTAAATAGTATTTAAACTACTTATAGCGGATACCCTATATAACGCCTACTATGAGTACCTTATAAAACGCCTATAGCGAGTACTCTATAGAATACCTGTAGCGAGTAGTACTATCTAGAATGCGTAAAATAAGCCTTTCGAGTATACTATCTCGAGTAAATACTATCGGATTAGAAGTAAACGACAGATATAGTATCGGAAATACTACTATCGCAACCTTACGATATATAATACGACTCCTACGACCTCCGAACTGCTCGCGAACTAAGAAATTTTAAAGTTCCTCGGCTATAACTAATTAGAGTCGGCTTTTAGCTCGTTTTGAGCCGCAGTAAGCCCAAAGAGGCCCTATTTTTGTTGAGTCATTATATTTTAGAAGTTATTATATTTTAGATAAGGGATAAGATAAGAATGATGGAGCTCTGGCTAGCAGCCTTAGGAGTGGGGAAAGGCAGATCGTTATCGCATGTGAAAGCAACTTCAAATTTCACCACCCCACTCCTCCATCATCGTCGACACGACATATCGGAATGGCAGACGAACACAAGGCGCCTGTGCAGCTGCCGAGGGTGGCCATCACATTCTGTACGCAGTGCAAATGGATGCTCAGAGCAGCCTATTTTGGACAAGAACTCCTGTCCACCTTCGGAACAAGCATTGGGGAGGTGGCATTGATACCAACGACTGGAGGACTATTCCAAGTCAATTTGACCTACAAGCCTGTGACTTCTGAATCGGAAGGTGAAGTCCAAGCCAGCGAGGTTTTGATATGGGACCGTAAGACGGAAGGTGGCTTCCCAGAGACCAAGATTCTGAAGCAAAAGATCCGCAACTTCATTGAACCACAGAAGAATCTTGGCCATTCAGATACACCATCAGCGAAGAAGAAGTCGGATCACACTTCAACACAGGAAAAGGCCACGAATGGAGTAAACACTGGAGAAGCTGCACACGAATGCCTGGACTGCAAATGAGACTTTCATGTCGCACAATTCAGCTTAGATGTCTTGGAGACGGTTTGGTACTGTCTGCACATGCAATTCGATATCCTAATCAACCTAAGAGCAACCCTTCTTAATTGGTCTAGGCCACACTGTTTATCCCGGAGTGCTTTTGAAAATTGCACGCAACTCCTCTCTCACCTTGCTACCGAACTCTTCCACCGCCTTTTGCTCTTCCACAGTGGCTCCCTCAACAGCGCCAAACTCCAGCATCTTCAGTACAGGTCTCATGTTCAGACCTTTGCGATCTGTCCTCATCGACAGCGCCCATTCCTTCATATTCTCTGTCACGTCCTTGACAGATATCGTCTCGATCCTCCTATGCGAAATTTCCAGCTTCAGACGATCGAGATACTTCGCATTCGCAAGCTTCTTCCAATCACGCCTCGCAATCCGGTCGATCATACCCAGCTGGATCGTCAAGTGGCTAATATGCTGCGCAGTGAACTTGCTTGGAATCCATTTCGCAAATGCCTGGCCTACGAGGCGGAAATTACCGCTGTAGATGATTCTCCCAACTTCTTCGCGAATAGGCCGACATGTTCGCATGAGGTTCTGGACATGAGAGCGTTGACGCGAACTTTTGCGGAAGACCGCGCTTTGATCGTTACCCTGCTGAGCAATTGAGCCAACGTGAATGGTTTCTTCGGGACTCTCTCGCAGGATGCCGATAAGCCCGTAGATCTTATTGCGGATCTCGGTTGGGAGTTTCATGAAGAGATTGGTCGGAGGCGGAGCAGATTTTTTTGTGATTCTTTTTTGCTGCGGCTTTGCTGTCGCATTTTGGTTGGCAGGCGCTTTGGCAGTCCCTGCGGCCGAATCACATACTTTAACAGATGATGGTGCCATGGCGGACGGAGTCTTCTTCTGCGCAGGCGCTGTGAGAGTCGCTGCGTTCGAGGCATGTATAATTGGAGCTATAATGCGGGTCTGCTTCTTTTTGCTTTCGGGCGCCGCCAGACCAGCTTCGGTCGAAGTCCTCTTCTTGCTCGCCGATGGTATGACTGTGGTGTTCGCTAGCTGCTTTGCGGAGAAGCGCGCGGTAGTGGGAGCTGTGGAGGCCGGATTCCTGATTTTTGCCGGTGTGGACAATGTTGGACCAGTCTTTGCTGGTATAATTCTTCTGGCCGCCGACTCGGAGACAGGAAGTGCCATCCATTTTCCGTCAGCATGTGGCGGAGGTCTCGCGACGCCTACCGTACGCCTCTTGCTGGTCGGCATAATTGTGTTTGGCACTAGATTGGTCTTTCTGGCGCTCATGTTGGTCGCCATGGCGTCGACAAGATTTTTGAAGATAGACGAGGTGGCTGATATGGAGTTGGTTTGATATGGCGATGCGACGTGGTGCGACTCAATATGTGGAAGTTGGAGAAAAGATGATCGAGGTGCGCGTGACTGAGATAGATATATTGTCAAGTGTCACCTGGAGCCTGAAGGCGCATGTGTGAATATAGGTAAGAATCAACCCGTGGTCCGAGCTTGTGAGGACACAAACCATAAATTGTCCTCAGGCATGTGACTTCCATACGTAGCTTTCCAACTCGTTCATTCGACCCAGCAGAGGTCCCATTCTTCGCCTTCTGATCGGGAGAAGGACAAACTGTTTGCATCTTGATGTAGTTGCGTCGCTTTCCGCATAGATCTTCTGAATTTTTGGAGTCGCCATTAGGGTCGGGAAGACTCTGCATTCACTCCTCGCATTTTGCTCAAGAACATTGCTCCATCGTTTTTGCTCATGTGTGGAATGCAGAAGTTCCATACATCTTCTAGTTGAAATATCTTCTGTTGGTGCCATTTGCTCGGTTCAGGAGCTTATACAGGCATTCTGGACTGTTTCGCTCGTACGTCGGCTGGGTATCAATCAGTTTGAGCAAAATATCTTGACCAACTTGCCGTTGGTCGCATTTTGCATCAAGGATCGTTCCGAACGATCCGACATCCTGCTGACCGACAGGTGTAAGAGGCACCAGTCGCACGTCTGATGTGTTTGTCCTTGAACGATTTTCAGTTTCTCTATGGGATGATCCCTCAATTTGATCTAGTCTTCCCACTCTTCATTGAGCTCGTCAATCAATCTGTTTTCGGCATCGCTGCTGTCTCCTCGAGCACGACCTCGACCGTTTCTATTACCGTAGCCATTGCTCACTCTGCTGTATCCTCTCCTCGAGGGCATGAATCGCGCACAAGACGAAGTCAAGATAATGAAGAGATCCTAGAAGATAGTATCAGCGCAAGGTATTCTAGCCAAGCTCAAGCACAACGTTCTTACCTTGAAGAATCCAAATATGCCTGCCCACATATTGTAGTTCGGCACTTGTTGCCATCCTCTCTGCTGCAGTACAGCACGATTATACACACAACCTCCCACAAAGTATACGATGATTGCAATTGTTGCAATCACACCAAACACGCCCGAGGGATTCAGCGAGCCGCTCTTAGTCGTGTTCGCCGTAGCACAGGCTGCGTTCGATCTTCCTTCAAAGAAATACGTGCATTCATCCATCGTTCCGACAAAGCTGAGCTGAAGTGTAGGTGCCAGTGGATCCTTGTCGCATAGCATACTGATCACAGTACTCTTCGTCCGTCCCGAAGACTTCTTCGAGTCCTTCTTATCGCCATCGTTCTCCTTTTTCTTGTCACCATCATCGATAATTTCTCGTGCCATGAGATCCTCCACCAAATGCGAACCCCTACTACCCGGCGAATCGCAAGGCGACCCATCAGTATAATTCAAAACCAACTTCCGTCCTCTCATCACCAATGCCGAGTTCTGCATGCTACACACTTCTGTCAGCTAGCCGCCCATGCCTCTTCCATAGCGAACAGCTCTCACCCTATAGAATACACCTTCCCACTGTGCTTGTAGTACGCACTCACATTCCTCCACAGATTCTTCTCAACGCCCACAACATCGTCCACAGGCTCAACAACTGGCCCGCAGAAGTTGATGGTGAAGTTATAGCCAAGATCATAGCCTGTGGCATTCCAACTGTAATCGCGCGGATGTTTGGCTTTACTTTGCGCGGGATCTGGGATCTGTAGTGCGGTGAGATCGAAGAACGAGCCGGTGGTTGGAGAGGTAATTGTGCATGGTTTGTTGTCTTCTTTCGCGGAGTCTTTGGATGATGAGGCGGCGGCGGCTGTCGCTGCGGAGAGGTAGATGGCGAGGGAGTAGTAGAGGAGGGGATTCATGGCGGCGACGGCAGTGGTGGACCGGGTAGGGGGATTGTGCGGTGGAAGCTATCGAGGGAAAGACATTCTTGTGAAAAGCATGCCAGGTGTACGCTGCGAGATGCGACGCGATTTCTCCAGCTACCTAAGTTAGGCTCGGTGATGGTGATGGTGGCCTGCATGGTGCCGGTGCCGGTGCCCGAGAGGGTGTGGCTGGGTTCCGCGAGCTTAAAACGTGGCACTTTTGATCCTCCCGTCCTTGGCCTACCGCATGTCTCCATTTCTGCTATCTTCTATCTGCTATAACGCTTCGTTGAGAGGAATTCGATGCTATCGTATTGTTGCCGCCTCATTGTGAAAGGGCAGCAGGATGGACGACGATTCATCTGCACAAGATGACGTCCGTCGAACTTCTACTTCCCTCACCGAAGCAGTCCAGCCAGACACCACGACTCTTTTAGTCGAGCTCAATTGTTCGAGCTGAACGAAGCCATGTGTACTGAGAAAAGCATCATGTCGTACTCGCCTCGACAGCTTCCTTGCCACTCTCATCATCCATCCTCATCTCTGCTAACATTTCGTTCACACTCTTCTTGCCAGGCTGATGCTGGTCGGCTTCCGTGTCCGGGACCTTCTCGATCTTTGGAGTGCCTAGAGCGATGGACATCACGGTCAGCACGGCTTTTGGATTCTTCAGCACTGGACATCGCTTACCGCGCTCCTTCTCGGTGGCTTCATCCTTGCGGAGTTTCAGCACTGCCCAGCGCATGCCCAAGCTCTCATTCCACTTGATAGCATCGCGTTGCTTCTGTCGAACGTTGCCTCTCGAGTCCGTGAAGGACCACTTCTGCTCGAGCATTCGCACTAGCTCCGGTGACTTCGGCTCGAGAAGTTGTACGCGCTCAATCTGGTACCAGCCATCGAACTCGTACACACGGGCAACTTGCGGACCACGGCCCTGTTTGAATACTGCGATCGGTGCGGCGGCATTCTTCTCGTCCTTCGAGTCGTCAACTGCTTCGGGCTCTGCGCTGCCTTCCGCACTGCCCTCCATGTCATTCGGAGCTGGCAAAAGGTCGAGACTCGATTTGGTGAAGATGATATGGTCATCATCCCATCTTGGATTTGCACCGGCGAACAGCACGATGTAGCTCGGCCGACCAGGAGTCGCGGCGGAATCATTCAGCGTGCCTCTGAGACCTTGAGCGAATCTGCCTGGCTGCGCATCGTTGTCGACCGGCCAGAAGTAGTTGCGGATGTCTTCCAAGGATAGCAAATGGTCGTCTAGCTTTTCACCGACAGCCGCACTTGACTCGCTCTGCCGGCGTCGTCCAGGCGGCACGTACTTGCTCATGTCGCCGACCTCATTCAATGATGATGCATGGAACTCATTATGTTTATGAACAAACGACAGTGAAGCAGGACCCACTTGCAGCAAGAACACAGCTTTCAGAAAGTCCTGGCACTGTTACACACACTTCGCAGAGTGTCAATTGTGATGTTCAAAGGCAAGTCATTCAAATTGAAGCATACAGTCAATTAATGAATATTCCTCAGCAATGAGCGCTTCTCGTGCCATAGAAAGGGGATGCTGCTCACAGAACAGACGATAGCATGAAATGCCTATCATAACCCCGATAGGGCAAGGGTGAGAACGTCAAAGACCTGGCACAATCATCCATCAACTCTTGTCGAACATCTATCGGACAACTCATATGAACAATGCCATCACAGGAAGAAAGCGTGCTCATAGTAGGAGCTGGGGTCTTCGGTGCTTCAACAGCTTTTCACTTGGCCAAAACATATCAGGATGCTTCGAAAATCACAGTAATCGACCGCACTCCAGCGCCACCAGAGCCTGCAGCGAGCACAGATATCAACAAGATCATTCGAGCCGATTATAGCAGTGCATTTTATGCCGACCTCGCCTATGAAGCCATGGATGCTTGGCAACACTGGCCGGAGCTGAAGGATTACTACCATCGAACGGGCTGGATCATGCTCGACGAGAACGACAGTGACCTAGCATCTCGAATACGTCAAGTATTCAAAGATAGAGGTACTGACCCGACTAGCGATGTAGCACTCGAGGATCTGTCAAAGCATTGGAAAAGCATCCTCAAAGGCACAAACACATCAGGTTTTAAAAACGCCTACTTCAACCCCGAAGCAGGATGGTGCGTTGCCGCAGCCGCTACAGCAAGTATCATGAAAGCCGCCATTTCTCAAGGCGTCAACTACATCGTAGGCGACATCTCATCCCTGATACACGAAAACAACAAGATCTCCGCCGTGCGCACCAAATCCGGAGAGGAATACACCGCCTCAAAAATCGTCCTAGCAACAGGAGCCTGGACTTCCCAACTCCTCAACCCAATCGAAGACGACCTCTCCATCCCCCATTCCGATCGAATCGAACGCCAAGTCACAGCCGCAGGCGTAGCAGTCGTCCACTACCGAATGACCGACAGCGAAATGTCAAAACTCTCAGAAATGCCCGTCGTGGTGTATGGCAAGAATGGAGAAATCATCCCACCACCTCAAGAAAACCATCTCCTAAAATACACCAACGCAAACACATTCACAAATCTCACAACCACAAAATCCGGACACAAAATTTCCATACCTCCTGAAAATATAGATCAACGCATCGTCCCCGAGATTTTAAAAAACGAAATGCATGCGAATATGACTCGGAATGTCATGACCAAATTTTCATCGAGGGAACCTGAGTATTGGCGTATATGTTGGGATTCCATCACTCCGACGCAAGATTGGTTACTCACGCAACATCCTGATCAAAGATTAGAGAATTTATTTCTTGCTGTTGGCGGGAGTTTTCATTCGTATAAGTTTTTGCCGATTCTGGGGAAGTACATGTGTCGAGTTCTCAGTGGGGAAGGGAATGGGATGGAAAAGGATAGGGCTTGGGGTTGGAAGAGGGATTTTGAGATTGGGAGGAGAGAGCATGGTGCGCATGAGAATACGTTGCCGAAGAGGGATTTAGGTGACATTTGGCATGGCGTGGAAGCGAAGGTGTAGGTGCGAATGGATCTGTCTAGATACTGTCGAAATTTGTGTTAAGGAAGTCTTCCATGAACGCCCATTCTTGATTATCAAAGACATTCTGCCACGTCGTTGGATCGGCGAAAATGTCGAGCTCTGGCTGCTGCTGCTGCTGCTGTTCTTGCTCGAAACTCTGCATGGCATAAGGTATTTGTGAATCTGTGGTGGAAGAGCGAGGGTCGATTTCTTGCGCATCCGTTTGTGAGAAAACAGCCTTCAGCAGTTTACCCGCTCGTACGCCGGTGCTGCTCTCCTCCCTCTTCTCGTGGCAAACTTTCTCCGCTTGCGTCAATAGATCAATCATACTCCTCTTATCCTCCGAGCTGATTGACAAGGCAGGAGTCTTTCGGTCTTGACATAAAATGAGACAGAGAGTCGTTACTCCCATAAGGAAGTCGTGCCAAGTGACAGAGCTGAGTAACCACCGATCGTTATAGAATTGTCCACCAGGTTTCCATTCCGGGTACATGTCTAGAAAAGAGGTGACGATGGCTCGAGCTGCGTCAAAAGCTATGCGGATACTGGACTCTCGACCAGAAGTGATGTGCTTGCGATGCAGTACGCAGCGACACTTTTCGTACATGAGCTCGATACATCGTCTTGTGACGATCAACATGATCGGGCCTGCGATAGATCTCGAGACGTTCTTCCAGCGAAGGACCTCAAGAAGTGATTCGTAAGTTGCTCGAAGCTGTTCGTCGAGAGTGACGAGCTCAGGCTGCTGAACCATTTCATTCGTACGCGTAGCGTGCTGCAAGATCTTTTCAAAGTCGCCCATTAGCTTGTGCTTGGAATTGTAGAACATGATCTTCGTCACTTCCGAGCCTGGTTTCGGCTGTGGTAGGCTTTTCATTTCTGGGTCTAGGTCGAAATCGTGGTAGTTGCCTGGTATCCGAGTGTCCCAACTGGTACGACGATGCACACAGTTTGGTAGACCGAGTTGGAAAGAGTTCAAGAGATCAATCTGCATGAGGGCAGACCATGCTCGGCGTCGCATTTCGCCTTCGAACGGCGTGATGTTGGGGAAATGATCTGGATCTCGATGGTAGCCCATGCAGAATGCAACCTGGGCCAGTGTGCCCATCAGCATGCCCAAGCTCCAACACAAGTACAGTCCTTCTACAAGCTTGACTTGGTTATAGGTAGTCAGAGCTTCGACGGCAAATCTCCGAGGTCTATTATATCTTCCTATTGCTAGGCAGTGCGCAGCTGCAAGACCGAATTCGAGAGGCTTGTCCTCCTCAGAGGGTACGAACGGTCCGCTTCGCACGGACAGATGGAAGATCGAGAAGAGCAAAGATATCCAAAGTGGGGATATAGCGTACTGAACCTGCCAGAAGGCTTCATACTGCTTATGAAACTGCCCGACATGGACGAAGGGCGATGCGATGCCTTCAGCTCGGAAGTAGATGGCGAGCCGCCGATCAGACTCTGTTCTTGAGGGCAAATACCGAGACAAGATGACTGGTAGAGGGAGGGCCTGTACGCCCCCGAAGAGTACATCAGAATCGTAGTATCCGTATGAATGAAAATCGACATCTTGCTCGCCGATGACATTTCGAAGCTCGGCAATGTCCTCTAACATGGCGGCATGGTGAGTCGGCCCCGTGTAAATCGAGGTGCCGTCGTCGACATTGCTCCTTTCAAGACGTGCGGAGGCATCCGAGGAATTGGTTTCCGGGCCTCGTGATGATGTGTTGACGAGATCTTGCAGCGCCTGTTCGAGGTGCTGAAGTCTGCTTTCGGCTCGTGATGCGCGGCTGCTTTCTGCAGTCTCCTTTCTCCCGGGCGTCCTGTTATAGGAGCAACTGGATGGATCGCCTCTCTTTGTGCAAGAACTACATGGCAGCTGTCTGTCACACTTGAGCTTGCGTGTCCGGCATTCAACACATGTCAAAGATTCCCGATTTCGCGTGATCGGTTTGCTGCATTTCTTCCTGACACCGCCAGTCGGAGGAGGCCTTGTTTTTCATTCAAGTACCCGTAGTATTACATCTCATCATTCACTCATGGCCGTCTCGTCGTTGCAGTGCGTTCAAGCTTGTGTCTCCCGCGATGACGAGCTGAGGTTGGCGTGTAGAATGTCTCCGAGGCGCTCCTTCAAAAGCTTCAAGATTTACACCATAAAGCGGGCAGGACCACGGGCATTGTCCGCAACGAAGATTGAGTACTCGTGCATCTTGTTTTCGTACATCGTGACTATTTAGGCTCATCTATCGACCCATGCTCCTTGCATCTACACTCGTCTACAATTTCTGCCGTTTCCTTGGGTTGTCGCTGTGGGAAGCAGTCCATCAGCCTGCGCTCAAACGCAGCTGCGATTTCGAGGAAATTCCACTCACTACGCAAGCAGGTACTTAGCGGCGTGCTCCACATGATCGTTTGCGAATGTTGAGATGAAGAAGTAGCTGTGGTCATAGCCGTCTCGGTAGTTGACAGTCACCTTCTTGCCTGCGCTCTTCGCTGCTTTCTCGAGGTTCTCCGGCAGTAACTGGCCTTGCTTGTAGAAGTTATCGCCAGTGCCGACATCGATATAGATGTCTGTGTCGTTCGGGTACTTTGCAATGAGCTCAGTCGCGTCATGTTCCGCCCACTTCGACTTGTCGCTGTCACCCAAGTACCCACTAAAAGCCTTCTCGCCCCATGGACACTTCGATGGGTTCGAGATTGGCGCGAACGCCGAGACCGACTTGTACTTTCCTGGGTTCTTCAGGAAAAGTGTGAGTGCTCCGTGACCTCCCATACTGTGTCCAAAGATCGAGACTCTGTTCCCATCGAGCTCCTTAAAGTGGCTGAAGAGTGCCTCTGGCAGCTCCTTAGTGATGTAGCTGTACATCTTGTAGCCTTTTGCGTATGGCTCCTTTGTGGCGTCCACGTAGAAGCCTGCACCTGAGCCGAAGTCGTAGGCATCATCCTCGCCTGCAATGCCCAATCCTCGTGGGCTTGTGTCAGGGTATACCACTGCAATGCCCTTTTGTGAAGCCTTGTTCTGGAAGAATCCTTTCTCTGCGCCATTGTCGCCGGTACATGTCAAGCCCGCGAGGTAGAAGAGTGCGGGTGCCGGTTTTGAGGAGCTTGCGGTAGGTGGAAGATAGAGGTTGAGCTTCATGTCACAGCCAAGTACTTGCGACTGTCAAGAGGATTCGGTCAGTGATTGTCGCAACGCAAATATCCAATGCCATGATATACCTTGTGTTGAAGCTTGAGCAGCTTGCCGCCGAAGCTGTTGATGGTTGATTGCGTTTCGAATGCCATTATGCTGTAGTATCGAAGAGTGAGTCGGGTGGGAGAGACAAAAGTTTTTCGATAGAAAGAGGAAGAGACTTGTCTGGATAATAGTTGCATACAAGTGTTTTGCTAGAAATTCTGTGACTGAATGGTCAGTAGTGAGGGGTGATTCGTGGTGGGGAACTGGTGTGACGTCCCCGGCTCGCATGGAGGGAAGGTACATCGAGAAAAGGCAGTAGTTCCCGAGCACGCTACATGGACCAGAACTCTTCTTCAGTCAAGAACCAAACCGCACGAATTCCGCATTACTCGTCCCGCGCCTCCTCTCTAGCTTCGACATGACTAGGAGTTTGCGTGAAGAGTCCAGCGCTATATTCTGGACCATAGTCTCCAGAGACGTCTGAATGCCACGCCGCTGCTGATCGGAGAATCGCGGAGTGCTGCACGAACTTGTCATGTATCGTGACGAGGCCACATGCAAGGTTTCCGGAAGAGCATCCCTTTGAAAACTCGTGGACAGACGCAGCTAGAGCATTAGCGGCGGGACATGGGAAGTCTGATCGAGCTACCCACCTAAATTGGGTGTGGAGCCCGACTTCCCGCCCGCTCCTTAGCTATTAGAATCCAGGGTCGTCCGATCTCGGTTTCTACGCCGCTGTCTACTATAGAATCTATATTTATCGGTATAGACCGTTATTTAAGTCGTTAAGGTATTGTTAATCGCTATAGATATTGCGGACCTTCTTAATAGCGAGACGTACGATTATAACGAGCTAATTGCTACTGCTAAGGACCTATTTAACGCATACGATATCGACCCTAATGCTATATTTCTAGCTACTAACGACAGCATTATAGACGCCGAGTTCCTATCGTCTCGTAAGCTACGTAAGGCTATAGCGAAGTCGTTATTCGAGGCTTTAACCTACGAAGAGCCTATAGTAGACAAGCGCTCCGAGCCTCTAATTATAGCTAATAACCTTAATAGCTAGAGGCGCACTTGCTATATAGCAGAGTCTAAGCCGGATACTATCTAACCTAAGTCTTAAAAAGCTAGCTTTTACTATCTATTAGAAGGTATTAAATACGAGAGGTAGGTGCGGCTACTAGTTAAAGAGATATTCGAAGGCGTAGATAGCGATAATCTATAGTCGGACTATAACCCTCGAAAGCTGTCGACTCGTAACTCTAGAGGCTAGCGACTGCTACTAAAGTAGTTTAATATTATATAGCCGGCTATTATCTATAGGATAATAGTATTGTATACTAACTAGTATGCTAAATAGAAACCTAAGTTTAAGAAGGTCGTAAACAGTAGTAAGGAGGTATAGGTTTCGAAGCAGAAATAGAAGCTAGTTACGACTAGAGAGCTACGAGTTTTTATCGGTCTAATAATATATATATTAGCTATACAAATGGACGATAAAGCCGATTACTAGCGCTCTAATAGGTATTAGCCCTCTTATAATATCGCTAGATATATAAGTAAGTATCGATTTCGATAGATTAAAGCCGCTATATAGTTTAGTAAACCTATCGAGAAGAATAGTAGCTTTCTACTATAGAAATAGGTCGTAAACCTTGCTAGCATACTAAGGAAGGCCTTTAAGCAGTATATAGTGCTAGCGAGTAGAATTAGTATAGATAAGGTAATAGTGCGCTTCTATAGGCGCTCTTTCTATACTATAATAATAAAGGGCAAACTAATACTAATTAGGTTCTATATTCTCGCTCTCTACGAGCGTAGATATCTATATAACTTCTTATTCTCGTCGCCGAAGAAGCAATAGGGGTTTAAGGTTGTTAACGGTGCGGAAGAGTAGAAGAATCTAGTCGAGGTGCTAATTAAGTTAACTAAGGCAGAGAAGAAGGCCGCTACGAAGGCGAGGAAGGGTATAGAAACTCGGGCTCGTAATAGAGGTAGAAATAGTAGTATAGACACTAGCAAAAATGGTAACGACGGTCTACCTACTAAACGACGACGGACAAAGTAGATAGCGTAAACTAATAATGTTAGTAATAGTAATAAAATAAGAGAAAGTAGGTAGCTTCTAAATCTAGCAGCTTCTTATATATAGAAGGCTAACCGCAGGGTCTAATAGCGACTAATCTTATTAGCTCGCTTAGCTCGCTTAGCTAGGCTGTTCTTCGGTTGTTACTATAGCTCCTATATTCGACTTACTTCTTCTATTGTTATATAGACAATTTATTTAATAACGTACTACTATTTCGGGTCCTACGACACTATAGAATCGCGGCGACAGGTACGGTGCGTACTAGCTCCAAATCTTGGCTATAGTAGGGCGCTGTATTCTATAAGGTATAGCTCTATAAGGATTAGGCGGTAAAACTAAAGCGGGACGAGCATCTACCCCCGAAGACTGTCTAGGAAGCGATAACACTCAATCGGAAGTCTATACGTTTCCCCTTCGACATACTAATAGCTAGGTATTACTATAATGTTGCCGCGATACTATAGCAAGACCGAAACCTCGTTTAAGTCCTTATAACTAGTTACCGGCTATTCTAGCGAGTCTAGCGATAAAGACGCTAACCTAAGGCTACTAACGACTTTATTACTAAGCACGTACGCCCTTACTAGATTGTTCCTTAATAGCTATGCTATATACCTGTATAGGCAGCTCTATATAACGATAAGATAGGCAGAGTCGACATCTACGACTAATTAAGAAGCTATTATGCTATATAACACCGTTCTATAAAGCTATAGCATCCGCTGTTCTACTTCTTGCTTAATACGGCCGTAATTAACGCCTACATTCTATGCCAAGACTTTACTACTTCTAAGGACAAATACCTTACTATATAGCGCTCCTTCCGCTTTCGACTCGGCTAGAGTTTAGTAATAGAAGGCAGTAAAGAGATAGAAGCAGAATTAGGAGATACTAGCTTAATACCTCGTAACCGCGGTAGGTTTATATTAGGCTATATATATAACTAGTACTACGGTCGTCCTTCTCGGCGCTTCTAGTAGAAACGAGGCGACGTTATTCGAGCGCAAATAGATACCTTTAGGCTTAGTAAGGACTATAAGCATTATATAGACGGTAGACTACTACAGAAACAGCGCTGCGACATCTATAACTTTACTAATACCGCACTTAATATTAAGTCGTAGACATACTATTAAACAAGGCGATATTGTATTAATTGTAGACCTAGTTAGGCTTTATATAAAGACTGCGAGTATACCTAGCACAACTACCGAGATTTAATCGCCTCTCTTAACTACCGGCGTACTATACCGTAACGTTAACCTATAGTTTATATAGCTCCCTTATCTTTAGTATATCTCTATAGTTGTTATAGCTAAAATTCTTTAAGAACGCGTAGATAGCGTCTATATAAGTCTCTAAATACATTATCCGCAACTGTAGCTATATAAACTCTCGAAAGTTAACCTCTTCCGGCCTCTTAACTTCTATAAGGCTCGGAGGACTCGAGGCTAGGTCTAGCGTCGACTTAGACCTCTTTAGCTTCTTCTTTAGTAGTGTTATAGTACTGTTTTAAGACCTTATTGTCTTAACTCGCGCCGGCAGTAGTAATTAAGCCTCTAGCCTTAGTAGCGAGGATTTAGGTTCTATAGTCGTAGCATCTCTATATTCCTTTATTTAGTTAGTTAGCAACGACTACTAGCGGCTACTAGCGGCTTCAATACAGCTATATATACAGGTGTTATAGCTATTGCTAGCTATTGCTATATTGCTAGCTATTCTATAGAAGAAGTAATATTTAAACTACTCTTAGAAGCGCCTCTGTCCGCTATCTAGATAGGCTCTCGAAGAGGCAGCCGCTTAACTATTATCGTTACTACCAGCGAATTCGGTCGGCGGAGGGCACTAATTAGTGATCTGCGGCTGTTCGTCGACCTACCCATTTTGCTAGGCTAATGGAACTCTCTGAGACCGGAAGCATGGGTTTAGCGCCAACCTACACCCACCGGGCTGGCAAAGGGATGGAGCTGGCTCCGCTCAGGAGCCGCTTGCGAGCTTCTTGCGCGGCTGAAGATACCGTAGCGCGTTGTTATGGTTGTGCCAGCAGCATTTGGAGTAGTTGAGAAGCCTTCTGTGAGACACCTGCCAAATACCCTTGGCGTTTTGAACCGTCTTCTAAAGCAACTCTTCGCAGGTCCAGTCTTCGTAGTAACCATCCGGAAGATATCGCCTCACCACCAGCGGAATCTTCTTCTCTCGGAGCTCCTTCAAAGCGATCTGGAGCGGATCGGTCTCAGATTCAACGTCAACTAGTACTGGAGCACCCAGACTGTAAAGGCAGGTCAGCATGCTCTATTCGAGCCACGGCCTCCTGACCAACATACCTGATCTGCAATGCCCGTGTTCCCAGTACTCTTGCACGCTCATACTTGGTCATGTATGGCGTTGTAGTTCTCTTCTCATTGGCAATCTTTTTGCTTTTCACACCTTTGACCGTATTCGCGCCTGGTTGCTCACCGCTGGGCACTATGTTGTTGGCATTCGCATCGGCGTAGTCAGTGCTGTTCAACTGCTGCTGCTGTGGCTCGCCGTCTTCGCCTGCTGCCGGTCAGAAATGCCCCAGCGACAATCATGCGCGCGAGAGGCAATCAGCACGCATTTTGATACCACTGAGAGCGCATACCATTGTCCCAGTTTTCCTCGTACTCTTGCTCTTCGATCAAGTTGTCCTCGACATCTCTGTGGCGGCATCAGCATCCTGCGATCACATCGACGCTCTGGAAGCGCATACTCGAGGTTGCCATATTCGACCATATCATCGTCGCCGCCTTCGTACTCCATCTTGTCTGCTGTTGCGTAGGAAGGATGTGAAATGGAGCTCCTCTTCGGCGTGTCGGATGAATGTGCACGAGATGTTGAACAGCGGCAGAGTGGTGATTTTGATGCTTGCGATCAAAGAAAGAACAGCAAGACAAGGATCGCGTTTTCGATGCAGGGATCTTCAGACGCGGCCCAGCCCTACCGACCTCCACAAAACTCTAAATTTATCTTTGAAATCGCGGGCTGAGTCTTGCTTACTTTCCTCACTGTCTTCACATGCCCACCACCACTGCTTAACGGCCAGAATGGCACACAGCCCAGCAAAGCGGAAGCGTGGTGCTCCTATTAGCACTCCGCTGGGCGAGTTGTACGTTGACATCTCGCCCCGCAAGAAGCGAGTACGATACGACGACGACGTCGACGACGCTTCGTCTTTTGCCGCATCGCACGTCCCTTCTTCCTTTGCAGAGAGCGACACTGCTGCTACTGCTACGATTGCCGACACTGAAACACCTCTGACGGAAGCATCGAGTGTGCGCAGCAAGAGCCAGCCACGCGCGAAACGTTATCAATGCTCCTTTGAGGGCTGCACCAAGGCTTTCGATCGGCCCATTCGCCTCCAGGCTCACTTCAATACTCACACTGGCGAGAGGCCCTACGCGTGCTCTGAAGACGGCTGTGACAAGAGCTTCTACAAAATAGAACACCTCAACCGGCATGTCAAGGACAAGCATGGCTCGAGCACTTTTATCTGCGAGTTCGAAGTCTACAATGATCAGACCCAGTCACGCGCGCCGTGTGGCCTGGCATTTCCTTCTGCTTCGAAGCTGAAGCGACACATCGCAAGGCATCAAGGGAAAGAGGAAACTACATGTAGCTGGGATGGTTGTGGGAAGGTGTTCCGCAGGCAAGAGACCCTCCAGCGTCACATCAAGAAAGATCATTTGGGAGAAGAATCGTATCTGTGCAAGCGTGAGCTGCCAGATGGAGAGATCTGCGGCCAGGCTTTCGCGACTCCCGGTCAGCTTCGTGGACACGAAGCAAGAGTGCATGAAGCTCCGAAGTACTGGTGTGAGGTCTGCACAATGGCAGGGCAGCCGACCATCGACGAGCTCATGCCGATCGGCAACGATCTGGACGCTGATTTCCTGCCGACGGAAGAAGATCTTCTGATTGCCCGTCAAGATGTCGATCAGGACATGTTCGACTCCCTCACGCTGAGCGAACCCACACCAGCTCAAACGCCTAGCGTCCACATCGTCAGCTTCCCAACATATCACGACTTGCAGCGCCACAACACCCTAGTCCACCCACCTAAATGCGCGCAGTGTGGTAAGAAATGCAGGAGTGCTAAGGACCTTTCTGCACATATGGATATTGTGCATTCAGGAGATCCAGATGTAGCAGCAGCAGCTAAGCCGCCGAAGAGATTTGTATGCCCGTACGAAGGCTGCACCCGATCTTCACTAGACTTCGGCTTCTCGAAGAAGGGTAACGTGGATCAGCACATCAAGAGCGCTCACACCAAGGAGAGGAAATTTGTCTGCGGCGAGTTCGATCTCAGTGGCTGCAGCAAGACCGAAGGTTGGAATGGCATTGGGTGCGGTTTGGCTGTCGTCACGAAACAGGCACTGATCGGTCACGTCCGAACTCAGCACATGGGCTTGAAGCCAACCAATCTGAAGAGTAAAGGCGCGAAGAAGGATTCGAAGAAGATTGCACCAAAGACCGATCTTGAGATCGACATTGAGATGGACGACGTCCCTCCTGCGACTGAGCACAATAAGACACTCTCCTTGATAACAGGATATGGATACGAACAACAACGTCCCTTTGCCTGCCTGCTTGCACCATCACGCGGATGCCAGATGCGTTTTACCAAGGAACATGAGCTCGGCTATCACATGGAGATGACCCACGGCTGGCATGTCGACGATGTTGAGGAAGCACTCAACGATCCGGACATCCATGCCGAAGACACAGATATCGCTGACCAGATTTTGAAGAGGAGACTGGAAACTGAGATGAATGCTGTTGGGGCAGCGTTCCTGGATCCGCAGTTCCAGCCAATGCAGGCATAGGTTGCTTAGAAGTCACGAAAGACTGTTGTAACTGAAAGCGAGATTATTATGGCAGTGCTATGGAATCGCTTGAGATGGACGACTAATGAAGAAGAGCATGGATGTACGGCATAGCATCGAAGCGTTAAGTGAGCGGTTTCTTTGATTGTTTTCTTGTTTTGTGTTCGAGATACCCATATGGCAGGCACAGCTTATTAGAGCATTGTACAAAAAATGATATTCAGCACGGAAGCTCTGTTAATTGCAACGACACATCACAGGACAGGAGAAGGTTGTCATTCCCTCATACTTTACAAACTATACATACTGATACTTCTGGTGACGTCGTCATGATCATGTACTTCTCCCAGCGCCAGCGCCCTTCACCAACCCGAGTAGCGCCGTAGACTGTACAAACTGGATATCATTTCAATGCCTATGACTTCTCTCCATGCAATCTAGTGCTGCGACCACTCAATAGTGTTCAAATCCACGCCTTCCTGCACCAGCTCCCACAGCGGACTCAGCTCTCGCAAGAAAGTAACTCTGTTCTTCACGGCGTCGAGAACATAGTCGATTTCTGCGTCGGTTGTGAAGCGGCCGATCCCGAATCGGATAGAGCTGTGTGCAGATTCGTCAGAGTTACCCAATGCTCGAAGCACGTATGAGGGCTCCAGTGAAGCCGATGTGCATGCCGAGCCAGAGCTGAGTGCGATATCCTTCAGTGCCATCAGCAGAGATTCACCTTCTACATAGGCGAATGAGACGTTGACGCAGCCTGGGTAATGTCGGCGGGGGTCACCGTTGAGAGATGTGTGTTCCATGGCGAGTAAGCCGTCAGTGAGCTTCTTTGAGAGAGCTGCGATGCGTCTACTGTCGTACTGCGAATGTGTTAGCATAAGCTCTACGTGGCAATATCGATGATTGAGAGCAAGTGCAAAACAAGAAGATCATAACCCCTGCTACGTTCAGCAAGCTATGCGCCGGTCAAAGCGCGCTCAGAAAGCCATGCATGTGTAAAGCGAATAATCATTTCAATGCGCGAAAAGCAATGCCGTATGTGTTCAGGGTGCTGGATTCTTACCTCCATCTCTTCTTTGCATAGTCTAGCAGCTTCACCCATGCCGATGATGAGCGGAGGTGCTAGAGTGCCGGATCGAAGTCCTCGTTCCTGACCACCGCCAGAGATGATGGGATCAATTCTGACACGCGGCCGTCTTCGCACGTAACATGCGCCGATACCCTTTGGTCCGTAGATTTTGTGGCCAGAGATGGACATGAGGTCAATATTCATCTTGTTGACATCGAGAGGAATCTTTCCAACAGCTTGTGCTGCGTCGGTGTGGAAATATATCTTTTTGCTTCGGCAAAGCTTGCCGATCTCTTCAATAGGCTGCACAACACCAATCTCGTTGTTGACAGTCATGATCGAGACAAGGCAGGTCTCGGGCCTGATTGACTTCTCCAACTCTTCCATGCTGACAAGACCATTCGACTGCACGGGCAGATACGTGACATCAAATCCCTCGTCTTGCAAATGTCGACAGCTATCAAGCACGCACTTGTGCTCGGTTTGTGCCGTGATGATGTGATTCTTCTTGCCACCCTTCTTGAAGAAACGGGCGACGCCCTTTACGCTCATGTTATTGCTCTCTGTTGCACCGCTGGTGAAGATGATCTCCTTCGGGTCGGCACCGATCAGATCTGCGATATGTTTCCGAGCTTCCTCCACTGCTTTATCTGTTTCCCAGCCGTAGGCATGGGTCCGCGAGTGTGGGTTACCATACAAGCCAGTGAAGAATGGAAGCATAGCATCCAACACTCGTGGATCTGTGGGTGTTGTCGCTTGTGCGTCAAGATATATGGGTCGAGTTCCTTGGTCCATGACAGTGGCCTGCTTTAAAATTGCAGCTGCCGGACTCATCGCTGCATCCCCAGGCATGCCAGTGTGTGGCAGGGTGGCATCTTTCGGTCTGATTCCGGTTTCTGCTAGAAATGCCTTCTGGTCCTCCCTTATTGTCTGCTCAACATTGACAGTGGCGTTCTTTGGACTTGATCCGGAGACATAATTTCTCCGGCCTCTCGATGCAATGCTCGCGCGGGGAGCTTGTGTGGCGAAGGTGTGTGTGGATGTCGATAGACGGCGACTGCATTGCCGCAGTGCCTGACGGGCTGCATTGGGCGCGAGATGCGACATGTTGATGGGCCGTGATGGAGGAGTCGATGGGCAGAATTCATTTGAGAGCTAGATAGATGCTCGAGAGTCTAGTGTGGCTGCCGGCTTACCTAAGCACTCCCGCGCTCGGGCCGGATGTGGCGGCATTATGCGTCGGCAAACCAATGTCTCGGTGCTTGCCCAGTATGAAGCTCCGGGTTTGACGGTGCCTGGGGCATGAAACATTCGCCATGGCCATGGCTGTCACATGTCGAAGGACGTGCTGAAGCTCATACCGGAGACTCGACAAGGCAGCTCTCAACTTGCGGTATAAGGCACAAGATATGGATGTATGTATTGTTGATTGTGCATTGTTGTGCGTGCCCCACTCTCACAGCATGACGTCGACGTCTCACACCTGCAAGCCACTCACGGCAAGAAAGACCTCCAGGCTCCGAGCAAGCAACCATCGCCAAGAGGTGCTGGAGTCTTTCATGTGCGTGACCACACGTTACGCTGCTGCTTGTTGGCTTGCTCCCTTACCTCATCGAAGTCCACTCGCGAACAATTAATTCCACATGCACCGCCGTCGCCGTCGCATCTGAAGCAATCGCAACCCGCAAACGGACCGACACATCGTACAGCACTGCGCCGAGCTAACCGCCCAAGATCGCTGCTAAGCCTCCGCACTCACGTCGTCACTTGCGCTGCGCTGAATTCCACCACGCTGCCAACGTCCTTTCTCGACTTCGCTGCTGCTGCTCTGCTGCCTGTCGCATACCTCCTACGCATTGACGACTCACTTCTACCCCATAGCACAGCATAGCATAGCAGCACCACCGCCAACATGAGCTGGAAAGGCTTTGTGAAGGGCGCTCAGCGGGTATGCCATTGCCTAGACACGTGTGAATGCAAGACGCGCCAGGAAGAGCTGACCAGCTTGGCAGACGCCTCAAACCTTCAAACAGCGCTTTAACATGGGCGATATCACCAAGGATGCCATATACATTGACGCAGAACGCCGATTTGCAGATCTGGAAAAGGAAACCAAGAAACTGCACGAGGAGAGCAAGAAATATTTCGATTCGATCAATGGCATGCTCGACCACCAGATCGAGTTCTCGAAAGCATGCAAGGAGATCTACCAGCCTATATCTGGACGAGCGAGTGACCCCGATTCATATGTGATAGACGGCAACCCCGAGGGCATTCGAGCCTGCGAAGAATACGAGCTTATCGTGCAGGAATTGAAAGCAAGCCTGCAGCCGGAGCTGGAGATGATTGAGACAAGAGTTGTAAAGCCTGCCGACGAGCTGATGGAGATCATCAAAGTCGTGCGAAAGACGACTCAGAAGCGCGATCACAAGCAGCTCGATTATGATCGACATAAGAATAATCTGAAGAAGCTACAAGAGAAGAAGGATAAGTCTTTGAAGGACGAGAAAGCGCTCTACAAAGCCGAAAACGACGTCGAAATGGCCACACAGGAGTACGAGTACTTCAACAGCTTGCTCAAAGAGGATCTCCCGCAGCTCTTCAGACTGGAGCGCGAATTTATCGCACCACTTTTCCAGAGCTTTTACTACATGCAACTCAATGTCTTCTATACTCTGCACGAGAAGATGCAAAACATCGACATCGGCTACTTCAACCTAACGCTCAACATCGAAGAAGCATTCGAAGCGAAACGCGGAGACGTCCAGCAACAAGCCGAAGCATTGACAATAGTCAAATTCAAGACTACGGGAGGCCTCAAGAAGCCAGCACTGAAATATCCGAACCGCCTCGCAATCGAAAACGGCCGAACAAGTAGTACAAGCTCAGAACAACGGCGACTTACGATGGGAGATGCATCGGCTTACGACAATCCACCTCCGGCGTACAACGAAAAGACGACCGATATTGGTCGGTCAAACACAACTGGCGGCATGGCGGCTGCAGCGAAATCGAAACCCGCTCCACCTCCACCTAAGCCAAAGCCTGGTCGTCTCAGCGGTATGCCTGCTGTCGAGTATGTGACTGCACTTTACGACTACGAAGCACAAGCGGAAGGAGATCTCTCGTTTTGGACAGGCGATCAGATTGAGATCGTGAGTAAAACAGATAACCAGAACGAATGGTGGCGAGGCAAGGCTCATGGGAAGGAGGGACAGTTTCCTGGTAAGATTGCTGTTCCACTCGGATGATTGCTAAATTTGCTAACGGTACTCGCAGGCAATTACGTGCAATTGAACTCATAGCGTGGGTCAATGAAGCATCTAGGATACCTGTGAACAGCATTTCACGTACCGATGTCCAGCATTTTTTTTTGACCACCCTGTTGATACCTCGACGAGGCTCACCGAGCATTAATGTATATACGCGCGAAGTCGGAAATGAAAGGAACAGATGCACAAAACCCATGACATGTCCTTGCTTTCATGTCTATCGAGAATCACTCGTCAACTCATCATCGTTATCTACTGGAACTCATCCGATATTGCACCAGAGTCAGAAGCAGCAGGAAGCAGAATTATCACCTCACTTCTGCGCCTCCCTGGTATCCTCCACAATCTCAGTCTTCTCATCAACCTTATTCGAAACAGCAACAGAATCTCCCCTCTCGATATCCGCGACCTTCTCATCAACATTTGCCCTCGTCTCACCACCAATGATGGCATGCTCGAAATGGCTGCCTCTCTTCTCCGGACCTACGGCGGCGGTGCAAACAATACCCAAAGCGATGATTGCTGTCGCAACGCCCATGACTGGTCCATAGGCATGCACTCTGTCCCCTGAAGGTGCGGTGAGGTAATGCGACTCAGCGATGGCGTTGACGATTTGTGCTGATGGGGAAGAGATCATGTTGCCGAGCTGGTAGGTAATGCCTGGGAAAGAACTGCGGAAGGCCGGTGGGGAGAGTTCGTTGAGGTGGATTGGGATTACACCCCATGCACCTGTGAAAGTTAGCGACACGGTCATTGAGTGGTGAAGCTGCGCCAAACGTACCTTGAACGAAGAATTGAATCATAAATCCACTCGCGGAAAGTCCTCCAAGCGATGTAGGCAGAGTCCAAGCCGGGATCAACAAAGCGCTGATCAGAGCCGAAACAACCATTGCTCTGCGTCGACCGACCCATTGAGACAGGTATCCGATAATCGTCCCACCCACACAAGCTCCAGTCTTCATCAGAATACTCGCGACGCTCGCATCGTGATTTCCCATCTCTTTCTGCTCCTTCATGAACGTGGTATAGCTATCCTGACTCGTGTGCGAATAGTAGTTGAACCACGTCATCAAGATGATACAATAAACACACATCCTCCACTCCTTCACCAACATCTTCTTGGTCTCTGCCCAGAAAACGCCCGGTGCTGCGCCTTTGTGCCCCGCTTTCTTCCTCTCGACGAATTGTTTGGATTCCGGGAATGCGATTCGCAAGAGTCCGACTCCGATTGAGAGACCGGCGGCGATCCAGAATACGGTCTTCCAGCTCTCGACACTTCCTCCCACGCCGAGATTGGCGCATGCGGCGCAGACGTAGCCGAAGGAGTAGCCTTGTTGCAGGATTCCGGACATCAGACCTCGGGCTTCGACGGGACAGTTCTCGAGAGCCATGGCGATGGCGTTGCCGTAGACTCCTCCCATGAAGAGTCCGAAGAGACTTCTCACTGCGAGGAATTGGCTGAAGGTCGCGCTGTAGATCGTTGCAATTTGTAGGATTCCTAAGACGATCATGTTGAGGACCTGGAGGAAGTAAGCAAAGGTCTTTCAATGCTCTATACGCAGCAGTTTCTACGCACCATAGGCCACTTCCTGCCGAACTGGTCACCTGCTAAACCGAAGATTGCGGCGCCGACGGAACGCAGTAGCAGCGTGAGAGTTATGGCCGTTGTGATATTGGTATTGCTCGTGTCATAGTACTTGGCCAGCTTTGTTGTCTGGATTGAGAGGGCGTGGAAATCGAAAGCATCGGCCGTCCAGGAGGCAAAACCGACGAGGAAGAAGATCCAGCCCTGGAGCGACAATGAGGCGAATAGCGAGAAGGGGTTCCGGAGAGGCTTTGGCGTTTGCCATTCTGTTCTGGTTTCGCCGTATTCGTTGGTGATCTCGACGCGTTGCTTCCATTTGAACAGGTCGCCGAAAGATTGTTTGGCGGTGGCCCAGGTGCCTCTGGCGACTGGCTCGGCCAGTTCGCCGGTGGAATTCATGTTGTCGTGCGGTTGTGGGAGTCAGTCGGTTGGAAAGCAGACGCAAGGTGAATGGTGAAATGGTGAGAGGAAGAGGTGAGGTCGGGTGCTCTTTCCGTTGCTTTGTTCTGCAACCCCGTTACAGCGCGCCTTGCACGTCTATATGTACGCGGTGCAACAATAATCGTTTGACAGTCTCGCATCACTGTGGCCAGGGTCGGCGATGCCTCTGCCGTCGCCCAGACCTTGGCTCACCAGCTCCTTTACTCTTTTTGGTGCGTACATCTGAACAATGTGCCTCACCTACATCGATCGTTCAAGACGGCAGATCCACGAATCCACCATACCAGACGCAATGCCAATCCACTCCTGACAAAACATCATGCGGGAACCCGGCCAATTCTCGCGCCATTCAACTGCCTCTTTCGCGGCCGCGTCTCGAGCACCACCAAACCCTCGCCGTCTTGAACCATCGATCACGACAAGGACCTCTCCCCGACATCTTTTCGGCCCACGTGAGGCCAGGATGCAAACGAGGTCTTGGAATAGTCTTGGAAGGCAGCCAATCTGCCTTGGCGCGAGGAAAGTACAGGGTCAGATTGGCTGGAATCCTCCCAGCTGGCAGGCCGTGAGAAACCGCCTCCGCACTTTTGTCGCAAGGAAGCATCGCGTGGCACTTCGAAGAAAAGGCTTGCCAGCAGCCGTGGTGTGCTTGAGCGGTGACCGTGGCTACCTTGGAAGTCTTACTGTGCGATCAAGCACATTTGGTGTCGTGGAACAAGCCATTGCCATGGCACACGTTGTACACCTCTGGCTGAAAAGAAGATAAGCGGCTGAAGGCACATGCACGGTTTTCTGTGGGCCTGTGGAGCTTCTCCACCAACTCCAGATTGCTTTTACGGTCTTGTAAGCATCCTCCATGGGGTGCAATTAGTAAAACGTGCGAGAAACCGGGTGCCGATCCACATGCCATACTAACATCGGTGGTCTGTTCGCTCTCGCTCGGGATGCCTCTTTCTAGTTGCCGGATTCAAATCCGCCGGAATCTCGACCTTGCTTACTTGCTTATATACTTCTATCTAATAGGAAGTCTCTCCTTAATCTTATCGCAGATCGCATATCGCCGGCGACGTTTTGTTCCTAATAGAGACATTACTATCTAGGTTTCTAAAATGCCTTATAGCGTTCTTACTTATCCCTAACTACTAAACTTATATAGTATTTACTTTAAGGTTAATTAATAGCTAGAATTCGGAACTAGTAAGCTTATTTAGCAAGTTACCCTATCTGCAATCTTATTAAATCTATTTAATCGAGTCGGCCGACTACGTTACTTATATCTAGGGTATTACTAACGTTTTAGTATTTTATATAGCTCGTTAGGTCTGCCTCTTAAGTCTCAAAACGGTACTACTCTCTAAAGATAGATAAGCATTTCGCTTCTTATATTTGTTTGCAAGTCTATTAAACGACTAGTAAGCCGATATTACTAATATTACGCTATTTAATATGTCGCGCTATACGCTCGGAGGACTATAGAACTTGCTGCAGTATAGCTATACTATAATTAGTATAGAATTAGCTTCTTAGCGGTTTCCTACCTCTCTGCTAAAATAATACTATACCTATACCTTGTCGTCGGTATTTCTATAGTATATACCTCTCGAAGGTATTATTAATAGCGCGTTTGCTAGACTATTAGCTTAATAAGATTAAGCGCCTCTTCGACGAGAGCGAGTTGTCTAATATTACTATCTCCGAGCTGCTAAATATCGCTAGGCGTAGTATTAATAAGATCTATAACAATTATCGCCTATTTAGTATATTCTATATTAAAGACCTCGCGAGGTTAGGTCGTCTACGGTCGCTATTACTAATCTTTAAGGATGTAAGTATCGCTAAGCGTATATAGTCGCAATTTAACTAACCCGCCCTATTTATATAGCGTATCTTCGAATTCCTTAACGACCGACTATATATCTATTAAGATAAGATAGTATAGTATCTATATAACGAATACGACGTTATTGTTAGCTAACCGACGGTATCGCGAGTTTTAAAGAGGCGTAGGTAGACGAGGAAGAAGGCGATACGGTTTGCGGCAGAATAGAACTAGGACCTTTAAGATAACTTCAAAATAAGGCAAATAGATATGCTAGCGCAGAAGGTAGTATATGTCGACGAGAGTGCGTCTAATAAGCGCACCGGATGGCGGAAATATAGATACGGTCCTATTAATCGCCCTATTTTCGAGGAAGGGTCGGCGGTAAGGTTAAAGCGATAGAGTATCTTGCCTACTATCTTAGTTAATAGCTATCTCGACGGTACGATTATTTACTAAGGCTCTATAACCGCGGAGATCTTTAAGGCGTAGTTATAGCATATAGTACTGCCTTAAATAGAGCCTAGTATATTCCTTATTATAAATAACGCATTAATCTACCGCACTTAGCGTATAAAGGATATAGTCGCGGCGGCTAGAGTCTACCTTCGATACCTGCCTCTATATTCGCTAGACTTCAACCCTATTAAGTTGTCCTTTAACGTACTTAAGGCATAGGTTAAGAAGTATATTAACGAGGCTAATTACTTCGTCGACTTCGGCAAATTTATACGGTATACTATTAACTAACTAGATACTTAAACAATAGTAGGATCGTAGTTCTAGCGAGCAGGTTATCGCTAATATCAACAGTTACTCCCTTATAGTCTCACTTATTCTAACGATTGTCTCTAGCTTAGTAATACAGCTTCTTAACTCGTCTATCTCCTATCTTATTCCTTCTATAATAGTACGCGTAGCATTAGCGGCTTGCTCCTTTATTACAGCTTCTATATACTATAGCCTACAGATCTAGCAATACTAGCTATAGTAATAAGCTTCTTAACTAAATAGCTAACGATAGTAATACAGTTGTCGGTAATATAGTAGTAGTATCTCGGATAAGGTCCTCTTCGTTTTCTTAACTATCGGCAATCTACGAGGAATTAGCAAAACCTGCAAACATACCTAATCGGTGCACCTCTAATGCGCTACTAGCAGCTATTGCGACAAAAGAGCCTAGAATTTAGCAGGTTCCGTGCCGTTTCTGTCGCTAGTATTACCTTAGGTTTATTAAAGGCGGCGCAGTTAGTATATTAACATATTCGCATCGCAATCGCGTATCGATCTAGAGAGCATAGCTTCGAAAGCCGGAATCTATACCTACCGACAGGATACTACTACAACACTACTATAATACGTCTTTATTATTGCTTTAGTAGGATATAATACTATCGATACCGCTAAGAAACCTCCCGTTGTCTGTTTTAAAAAATATGCACCTCTAGTAAAGATATAGGCTCGCTAATATATTAGAAATTCGCGAATACGAGCGCTTCCTCTATACCGAGACTGCCGAAATTTCGGCTTCCGCTCGGCGTAGGAGCTTAGCGGGTCTAGACTTAAGAAGCTGATTTTAACTATACTAATACGACACTAGCGCAACACTATAACGTATTGCTTTTTATTACTACAAGTACAAAGAGGCGAGACTATATCTATCTAATGCTCCTCTAATTTATACTATATAAAAATACGTAGTATTAGTAGACTAAGAAGCGACATTAGTTAAGCTAAATATTAGCTATTAAGCCGCCGACCTATAACCGGAAATCCTCGCTTCTTACTAAAACAGCGCTTCTATAGCGCTTCTATAGCGCTTCTACGGCTAATTAACGAATAGACTATCGTCCGACTTGTTAGTACGAGTAAGTCGCTGCTTACGGACTTCCTTGCTAATATATCGCCCTACTACGGCGATAAATCGAGCGTATTAGCCTTCCTTAAGTCTATAGCGGACCTAATCGCTTAATTTGACCCTTCTAAGCTAATTAAGTAAGAAGTCGCCTTCCTCGTAGATACGCTTAATCTTAGCTATATCGGCGTGTCGCTTAGTCTAGCTGCTAGTTAACTCTTTACGTAACTAGCTAAAGAAGCCTATTAATTCTATGTTAGCAGTATAAGATTAATAGGAAGCGATTAAGCCCCTAACTAGACTTGATTGCGGCGGTAGACTAGAAGCCGGTAGACTAGAAGCTAGTAGATTAGACCTAGAAATAGCGCCTCTACGACCCTTGCTATTAGACTAGCTATAATAGTTATAGATTACTACTAGGGTCGGTGTTATTAGTACGATAGCACGTCTACTACTACTAGCTTGTTATCTAAATAGATTAGACAACTGCTTGTCTCGTTGCTTCTATATCTTTAATGCTAGTGCCGCTCTAGGGTCGTCGATTGTTAGCCTTCTAGCTAGATTAGCCTCTCGAGTCCCCTTAACCTATCTAGCGGCTATTTCCGGATAGATCTTGTAGTAGTCTTCTACTCTGTCTAGACCGCTAAACTAGTATAATCTACCCTTGTTTAGGTAGTATCTATTCTTATAGGGCTACCGCTAAGTAAGGGCGTGTCGCAGGTGCGTTAGTAAGCTAGTAAGGTCGTCGTTATTGTCGTTAGGAGCCGCTTTATCTTCCGAGCGACCTTTAGCTAGTAGGGTAGCTAACTATTGCTAAGTCGCTATATTCCGCAGTCTCTAAGAAGCCTATTAAGTCCGCCGTAGTTGTTAAGTTGTAGGCTCGTTAGGAACACTAGTTAGCTTAGCTATAACGGCTAGTTTAAACTCGAGGCGCAAGCCTGTCTTGCCTTAACTATTCTAGACAGCTAGTATAGTATATACGCGCTCAAAATTAAGGTCCGTTATACTAGAGCTATAGTAGAAGTGTTTAGCCTTTACCTTGTCTATAGAGGCTATTATAATAGCACTCTTAAGACTAAATATAAGCCGGTTGTTGCCTTTATTACGCTAGTCGTTAAACTAGTAGTCTACGGCTTTATAAAGCGACTCGTAGCTTAACTCGCTTAGATAATACTCGCTTAGCAAGGCTTCCTTCTGCTTGTCTATATATAGGTTCTACTATATAGTATATTTAAAGACCTCGACTTCTTTATTATCGCTAGAAGTATAGTCTTCTTTATCTACGGTATCTTAGCGCTAAGAAGTCGTTAAATCTAGCAACTCGTTGTTAGTATCTAGCTCTTCCGGACTATTACTTAATAGTAGTAGCTCTTTACGTCGTTGTCTCTTAGCGGCAGCGGCTTTAAGGGCTTCCTTCTTCTTTATAGTAAGCTTATATAGTCGCTTCGAGGCTCTTAGTATACTAGCGTAGTAATAGAATAGACGAGAGGGTGCTAAAATAGCTAGCTCTTAACCTTAAGGCTTACTAGGAGGTTGTAAATAGATAGAGGTAAGAAAGGCTTTCGCACCGGATCGCATTCTACACCTAATTTGTGTAGTGCGGTGGATACTCGGCAAAGACACAGATACGCGCTAATTTCCATCACTCCGAGCGCATGGCGCGACTTATTGAATAGCATAATAGTTTCCCTTCGAAAAACGAGATTCCGCGGATAGCGACGGCACAAATCTCAGGAAGCTTCTTAGTAACTTCAAGCCTGCCTGCCTACTACGATCAGACCCGACGGCACAGATATAAAGATCTTGATGATGATGACCAGTAGAGCGAACGACGGTCATGCGATCGATGGAGTAGTGGTGGTTCACAGGCTGGATGAATTATGAATGATACTGCTGAACAGCCGTATAGTGATGGAAGCGAGAAGGATCTGTAGACAGATAGAATTTAGGAGGAAGCTTTAGGAATTGTAGAACTTGGAAAGAGAGTCGGACAAGCCGGGATGTTGTGGTGTTGATGTCGACTTCTGCCTGAGTGTTTGTTCAAGCGGTGTGATCAAGTGGTCACGGACCAGGACAGCCTAGTGTGATGATGTGCATTCGCAATCCCTCGGTCCGAGTTCACGGTGTTTACGCAGCAGGATGAGAGATTACTTACGGCAGCGAATGGACGAAGGATTCCCTTCACCCCACAACTCGGCCGAACCACGTTGTGGATGTTGCTTCGATCGACGTGGCGCTATGAATATTCATACCCCCAAGGACATCAAGTACAAATTGCCAATGATTCGTGTAGGACGGAGGGACTCCAAGACTTTCCCTTTAGGGCATCGCTGTCGTCGAAGAAAAGATCCAATCCGAGATTGGTCCGATTGCAGATGCACAGATATGCACTCCCGATCTCTAGCGCCGGCAATGCGGCACGTTTGCATTGCATCTCTGCGTGGAGATGTTCTCTTTACCTAAGCAGACGCCACCTCGAGTGTGTTATTGAAGACGAGCAACGTCCATCCGCTCTATATTCTAACAGCTCTGTCCTTCTCGAAAACATTCACTCACTGATCACAATCTTGTGAAGAGCAAGGGATAATCCCAGTCAAAGTTCGCCACCATACCGGCATCGGGAATGAGCGCATCCAAATCGTCATCTCATCAAGACGAAGAAAAAGAAATCGACCTCATGGCAGCAGGAGGACGTCAGAATGGCGTTCAGCAGCAACAACAACAACAACAACAACAACTTCCCCCAGAGAATGGAAAGCAAGCAGGCCCATCGCCACCTCGAAATTCCGCCCCACCCCCACCTCCTCCTCCTCCTCCTCCCAATGGCGGCTACGGCTGGGTCTGCACAGTCTGCTGCGCAACAATCAACGCACACACATGGGGCCTAAATTCCTCCTACGGAGTCTTCCTCGCCCACTACCTGCAAAACAACACCTTCCCAGGCGCAACATATCTCGAATACGCATTCGTCGGCTCCCTCTCGATTTCCTGCGCCATGCTTATATCTCCCGTCGCCACACTCTCCACGCGATACTTCGGAACAAAAGTCTCGCTTGGGATAGGCATCGTGCTGGAATCTGCCAGTCTGATCGGCGCGAGTTTTGCATCGGAGATATGGCAGTTGTTTCTGTCGCAAGGGATCTGTTTCGGGTTCGGGATGGGGTTCTTGTTTGTCGCGAGCGTAGGCATTCCGGCGCAATGGTTTACGACGAGGAGGAGTCTCGCGAATGGGATTTCGGCTTGTGGGTCTGGGTTTGGGGGGTTGGTGTACTCGCTTGCGGCAGGAGCCATGTTGAAATCTCTGGGTTTGGCCTGGACCTTTCGAGTCCTTGGGATTCTGGCTTTTGGAGTCAACACCATTTGCGCGATTCTGCTGCGGGATCGGAATAAGATTATTGGGAGTGCGCAGAATGCGTTTGATGTGCAGCTGTTCAAGCGCGTGGAGTATCTGCTCTTGGGAGGCTATGGGTGGTTCAGTATGCTGGGATATGTGGTTCTCATCTTCAGTCTTGCGAACTATGCGAATGCGATTGGCTTGGATGCTTCGCAAGCGTCTGTGGTGTCGGCGATTTTGAATCTTGGGCAAGGACTTGGACGGCCGCCTATTGGGTATTTCAGCGATAATCTTGGGCGCATCAATATGGCGGCGATGATGACTGGACTCTGTGCACTGTTCTCGTTCGCCATCTGGATTCCGGCTCAGAGCTATGGTGTGCTTCTCTTCTTCGCGATTGTCGGAGGAGCTGTGGCAGGGACGTTCTGGACGACGATAGCGCCGGTCGCAGCAGAGGTCGTCGGACTCAAGTACGTCCCATCTGCATTGAACCTGGAATGGTTGATCATCGTGCTTCCATGCACATTCTCAGAGCCGATCGCATTGGAAATTGTGGGCGGCACTGGAAGTTACTTGGGTGCACAGCTGTTCGTTGCTTTCATGTACATTGCTGCGGCCGTGTGCTTGGTGTTTCTGAGGGGGTGGAAGATTGGAGAAGTGGATGCGATTGCGAAGTTGAAGGGCGAGTGTGCAGATATGGTTGATGCAGTGGCAGCCGAGAACGATGAAACGTGGGCTGAACCGGCTCGAAAGGCAGGCCGACAGCGGATTATGCTCGACTTCTGGAAATGGCGGAGGGTGTGATAGTTTTCCATTCCATTGCGGCGTCCAGTCTGTGGGCCACAGCTACAATTTGGCATCCTTCCCCGTTCTTCCTCTCCTCAAAAACTCCTTCAACACATTCCAAGTGACCATGGCAATATCATTCTGATACGCATTCCAGCCCAACGAGCAGTACCAATTGATGCTTCCCACACTGAACACTGCTCCACCCGCATTGGTCTCATATATCACCATATCAGACCTGACGCGATCAGTTTGCGGGCCCAGCGTATTGACCAGAGGGAACATGACCTCTTCATTGAAAAGACAAAAAGTCTCGTCATGTCCAGTACTCGTGGCGAGGAGGACTGCATTCTCAGGAGTTCCCAGATCGTAATCCAGACGATCGATTTCGTCGCCGGAAGCCCCGCCTCCGAAGCCTTGTCTACCGATGAGAAGTTCGTCGGCTTTTGATTCAAGACCATCGAATAGCCAAGAGAACTTTGAATCGCGCATGATACTTTTTTCGAAGCGGTAAGGTACGCCCGGGCCAGACCCACACGCATCAGCACCTACACCGAAGAGGGTTTGCGGTGCTCGGCCTCTGGATCTCCATAGTCCACCTTGCGCTCCAGAGAGTGAATGGATGCGTTCTCCTGCTGGCAATGTTACGGATCGACAGCCCTGATCGCCCTTACGTACCTCCATGCGATGTGGTCTGTTGGGGTCTGTCTCGGAGCACCAGTAGAACCCGTTCCCTCCCAAGTACATCACGTACCCTCCTTGAGCGACAAAGGAGACGTAAGCATCGAGTTCGTTCAGGCTCGGGTACTCCGGATGAGAACCGGTGATCAGAATGTCATAGGATTTCACGGCATCGAGGCCTCGGATGTGAAGATCGTGTTCTGTCACCACATCGTAGCCACCTTTGCCGAGTTTTGATTCGAGGAAGCCGAGCATTAGTAGGTCGGCGCTGAACTCGCGAGGTCGATGGAATGCCCAGTGGACGTAGTCTGGTCTCATATTCAGGATCGGCCTCTTTGCCGAGGAGAAGACGTTGGCGGAGCCATCTTTGTGGACGTCGTAAGTGCTGAGGCCGAGATCAGTTCTTCGGACCATGCGACGATAATGCTCAGTCTCGAAGATGTCGACGCCTCCCGCGAGTTCCATTCGTGAGGCTAGAGATTGGTCATGCATTCGCTCGTTGGCATACGCGAGATACGTGAACGTCGGCATGACCATGGCGACTTTGGGCTTCGTGCTACGCTCAGAAGGGGTGACGAAGAAGGTTATGGCATCCTCGACGTTGGTGTTGACACCTCTCACCAGTACCGCATATGCTCCGGACACGACATGGTCGGGGATTTGTACAACGAAGTCGGTGTCCCACGCGGCATCGTCCAAGTCATCTTCGTGGAAATGTATGGCGCCATAGCCATATTCAGCTTTGGTCCAGTCGGACTCGCTTCCGTCCCAGTCGTGGCCTTTGACGCCTCGGGCTGGCGCGTTGACGAGAAGGCCGTGATGCTGCAGGCCTGATGTGTCTATGATGCGATCGGTGGGTATGTGCTGGGAGAAGTCATACTTGGCCCACGCTCGATATTTGCCTGGAGATTCGGCGGCTACGTCGATGCGGAAGTTGTCCACTTTGCCATTGAAGCAGTTGCGGTGTGTTGACGATGCGTTGAGATGGGGATCGAAGAAGCCAGCGGCCAGCGTGAGAGGCGATCGTCCGGCGAGTATGGCATGGCGACTGAGTGAAATTGTCTTGCGGAAGGCAGCGGGCGCCGGCTCCGAGAGGCGAGGCACGTGTGTGGCGTGTATGCTGAGATGGCAGTCGTGGATGGTGACTTCGATATGCAGCCAGCGCCATCGTCTTGGCTTGACGTCGAGGTCGTGTCGTTCGAGACTTCTTCCGTCGCCAACGATGGAAGATATGGTGCCTCGCTTGGAGAGAATGAGGGCAAAGCCGGCGCGGGAGCAGACATCAAGCGTTGACACCAGCGTCTGCTCATGTCCACCGTCCACGTCCACGAGCCAAGGCTGCAGGTAGAAGCTGAACTGAACACCAGCAAGAGCACCCGCGGGCGGCCATGAGCGGACAAGCGCATAGGACCCCGCAGCAGCACGCTTGTAGCTGCCGTGCTGCTGCTGCACGCGAGAGTCTTCCTCGGCGATGATGACTTCGCTGTAGCGTGGCGGCGCGTGTTTCAGCGTGAGACCGCGCACCAGTCGAACGAGGGAGCAACGGTACTCTTGATCGGTGCTGGACACCTGAACGCTCCATCAGCTGCATTAATTCCATAGTGAAATCTGCGGTACCTTGACTGCGACGCTCTCTCCAGGCGAGGCAATCCATGGCTCCACATATCCGATGATCTCGTGCTCGTGGCCACTCGGTAACGACATGTCTGTCGGTGCATGCGTTCGTGTACGACTTCGCGTTCGAAGCAGCTTCGTGAACGTGTCGTGACTGTCGCGGAACTATCCGATCACCGTACCAGCTCACCCCTGCAAGCAACACTTTCCGAATAGGCGACGACGACAACGGGCATGGGTTTGTGAAGAGGCCGATATCAAGCAGATGAACGAACATTCATCATGGCTGACACCCAGGCTCCGGTGCCAGCATCAGCACCACCACCACCACCACCACCACACACTACCCTTCAAGCAGTCGAGCCGCATCCGCATCCGCATCCGCCTCTGAACCTCATTCCCGTCGGCCTGAAAGAAGCCGCCCTCGACTCGCCCACCTTTCGAGCGACCGCACTCCACTTCGCAGACAACATCGACTCCGTGGAGAGATGGCTGGACGGATACGTCAAAGCCGCTTCACGATTGCTGTCGGAGCTGGCCTCTCTCGAAGCAGCCGTGAACTCCTTCCTCACCCACTCCACCCCTCCAGCACACATCAGCGAGGCAGTCCTTGATCATGATTACACGCTTCTGGCCATGCGGAGATATGGAGAGGGCGCACGAGACTTTTGGCAGGCCACCCTCCGCAGCACGAAACGATCCGATCCAGTCGTCATTGATCCCATCAAGAGCTGGCTGAACAGCGATTTGCGAAGCTTCAAGAATGCGAGGCGAGACATGGAGAATGCACAGAAGGCCTTTGACAGTGTCATCACACGCTATCTGGGTCAAAGCAAGGCCAAGGAAGCTTCGTCCTTGCGAGAGGACGCCTTCCAGCTGCATGAAGCACGGAAGCTGTATCTGCGATCGAGCATGGACTTCTGCGTGCAAGCCCCTCAAGTCCGAGCATCCTTAGACAAGCTTCTCGTGAAAGTATTCGCAGACCAGTGGAAAGAAATGAGACAAGCACGAGACTCGTCTGCTGCGACATTGGCCAAATGGAGCAGTGACATCGACCGCGTTCGTGGCTGGAGCAGAGAGATGGAGAACTCCGAAAGAGCCTTTAAGCGCGAGCTTCTGACGGCGAGAAAGCAGATTGAGGAAAGTGCCGAGGCCAAGATGCGGCCCTCGCGAGAGCTCGAGGACTACGCTGCATCGACTGTGCCTTACTTGGGCACGGGCGCCTCGTCAGCGACAGGTGCGAACAAGTCTAAGGACGGGAAAGCCGAGAAACAAGGATGGCTGTTGCTGAAGACGATCACCGGTAAGCCTGCGAGGACTGTGTGGTCGCGCCGCTGGTTCTTTGTCAAACACGGCATCTTTGGCTGGTTGGTCCAAGGCACACGATCTGGTGGAGTCGAAGAGAGCGAACGCACGGGTGTCTTACTCTGCAGTGTCCGCCCTGCTTTCCAGGAAGAACGACGCTTCTGCTTCGAAGTGAAGACCAAGAGTCAAAGCATCATTCTGCAAGCAGAAACCCAGCAAGAACTCACACAATGGATCAGCGCCTTCGAAGTTGCAAAGCGAAAGGCGCTTGAGCACCCCGCAAGCACCGAGACATCGCCTTCAGCCCCGGGAGTCGATCCAGCGTTTGCCATCAGTCCTCCTGTGGCGCCCGAGTTTGCTGCCAAAGTTGGCGAAGGCGGCCATATTTCTACGGGCAGCGAAGAGATCGGCCTGGTGCCTCCAGAACGAGAAGCTACCGGTCTTGGGCTTGTCACCCGCGCCAGCCCTGATGTCAACCCGGCCCGGCGTGTCATGAGCCTCAATGTCGACTCCGAACCGAACTTGCGCGAAGGCCCACGTGATCACGCTGCTCGCATCATTTCCAAGCTGGACTTGCACAAGCGACCCCCTGCGAGTCCACCACTGACCTCTTCGCCGGCACCCGCCGGAGGTATTGCGAGCCTGATATCAGCAAGCCACAATATCCTCCCTGTCGGCCCAGGAACGCCCGGACCAGCCACAGACGCTCCCAAGCGACAACTGCCCATGCCGACGAGCACCCTTGCGCCATCAACGCTAGCCAACCCGCCCGCTCCCACGAATCTCAGTCACACTGCTGTAGTCGTGAGTGGCGAGCGTGGCATTGGTCTTGCACGCTCCGATGGTTCTGGTATGCCTTCGGGCATCCTTGCCAACCTCTGGGGTAGCAGCAATTGGGGATACGTCAATCGGCTTGGAGACGCTCCACCACCACCACCCAAATGGCCGAGCTCGCAGCCAAGCAGTCCGCCATTACGTGCCCTGCGTGCCCTGTCTGTGTCTCAGGACGATTCAATCATCATGGATGGTATGGACGAGCCGCCGAAACTGTCGCTCAATCCGCTTTCTCCAGACATTGCGCCATCTGCAGCACACAAGAAGAACCAGAGCATCGGGACTGAGTTACCTGCCGCAGTGCTGACCTCAGTCAAAGAAGAACCCACTGCCACCGAAGACTATCCAGCCTTCTATCCTTTGCCGCTCAAAGCGCAAGATGCGCAATTTCGTATGTTGTTCCCGACGGTCGCAAAGGACGAGAAAGTGGTTCTTGTCTTCCGGGCCACTTGGAATCCGAATGAGCAGCAAGAATTCCCTGGCCGAGTCTATGTGACTGCGCGAGAGATCTACTTCTTTTCGAATCATCTTGGCCTGGTGCTCATTACCAGCGTCAGTCTTGCATCGCTGTCTGAGGTTACAGCAGCGCCTGGTCGCGATTGCGATTTCCTATACCTGCATCTAAAGGAGAACATACTCCGCCCCGATGATGCACGTAGGGTGACAGTCAAGCTTTTCCTCGAGCCTCTGAAGCTGCTGCAGCGCAGACTCAATTATCTAGCCCACAATGCCGACAAGGAGCAGCCTGCTGGACTAGAAGAAATCATCAAGGCGTTGATCAGGATGGAGACGGAAGAGCCTCGCCGAAGCTCTAGTGTCGAGAGTTGGGAAGACGTCGCTTACGAGACTGATGGAGCTGCTGCTGACCAGACCACGCCGCAACGCCGTCGTGAGAGAAATATCAAGGCCAGTCTGCGCATTGATGGCAACCTCTACGGTGAGACACCGAAGACCGGGCGAGAGATCCAGAAGTTCAAGCTACCCGCACAGCCTGTCGTCTATGCACCTCAAGGTATGCAGGAAAGCATCACGAGGGAATTCACCGTCTCAGCCAAAGCACTGTTTCACGTCATGTTTGGCGATAAGAGCGCCGTCTTCCAACTGCTTTACTGCAACCGCTGGGCCGACACAATAGTGCAGACTCCTTGGACGAAGCCAGAGAAAGGGCATTGGACACGAAAATTTGCCAGCCAGAATCATAAAACGCCGCTGGCCGACAGCCAGACCATCGATATCTTCAACGACCATCTCTGCTATGTCGTGACCAATCACAAATACCCGTGGCGGCTACCGTACTCCGACTCTTTCTCGCTTACCACCAAGTTTGTTATCACGCACACGGCAAAGTCGCGATCGAAACTGGCTGTCTTCCAGAAGCTGAGTTGGCACAAAGCACCGCCAATATCATACCTCAAAGACCTGATCGAAAGGCAAGCATACAATACTCTCGAAGCTGATGCCCTGGACCTGTCCAACGTGGCCATGGATCAAGTCGCAAAGCTCGGCACTCACAGCAAGACCAACAAGGCGGTCGAGATCTTCGGAAGCATCGGCCAGCAAACGCAAGCAGCACAGATGGACAGCAGTCAAGTACCGGACGGAGCAGTACCTCCGATGAGCGTTGTGCCCACCCGGCCGGTCAGCGTTTTCCGCCTGGTGTCAAGTGATCTCGCTGTACGTGCTATCGGCGCGTTGAGTGTCGTTTTCGATGCCATCGTCGCCATCGGCAAAGGGGCAATCAACCTCTGCACAGCTCACACCCTGCTGGTCATTGTCTTCATCATTTCTGCGCTGTACAATAGCTGGCATGGATACAGAGACGGACTGGTGTGGTATCATGACAAGAAAGCAGCACGTTACATGGCAAGGCTAGGCGTGACTCCGGAACCTATGATGGCCAAGGCCGTCTACCTCAGTGACTTGGAAGAGCTGGTAGCTCCGAAAGCTGGAAATGACTCCATGTCCGCGTTGATCACATCAACAGTGGACAGACGGCGCAAGACATGTCGCAGCACTTTCAGCGAGCAATTGACTACCTCAATCTCTACAGCGGTATCTCAGAATCCAACGAGTGCTCGACTCCGGCGCTCCCGCGATTCTCTCGCTCGATATCGGCACGACCTCATGGTCGCCCTCCGAGTCGTCAATCGTGTCGAGCGAGATGTCATACTTGCAGAGTGGGAAGATTGGGTACGGTCCGAGGACAAAAAGTGTCAGAAGATCAACGAAATGATGCGTCACGTGAAAGAAAAGTCAGGAAAGGACAGCAAGAAACAGGACCAGGCGGAGGTAGAGCGTGAGCTTGGCGAAGATTTTGCGGACTACTGTAAGAGCTGCAGAACAGAGGTATCAGAACTCGAGAGCGGGAGCAGGTTGATATGATGCATATGACTGGACGTTGGAATTCATAGAGATACCTTTCATGTCGATTTGTAGATATGCTTGTGACGAATCAAGTTGCACGACATCATTCCAATACCAAAGTAAAACGTGTGCAGTCTTTTTTGTACGTGCTACTCTTGAGAACTTGAGGATGGTACTGTTTTTGAGTACGCCGTGCGAGACACATTGTCGAGGATTACGACGAAATGGATCTCGGGAGAGAGTGTGTGTATGGCCTCGGACATCAAATATGAAAGGGAAATTGCTAATCGCGATCTGGCTTATGCAAGAGCAATTGAGGATATAGATGAACGATAGGTGTCTAAGGAGGCTCGAGCCGGCTTGGTCGAAGGCACCGAATCTTGGTGGCATCGTCTGGCCGAACTCATAGAAGTGAAAAGCTGGACGAGAGATGCAGAAATCGTGAATCCCACTTGGTCCACTCTATATCCAGATCTGTCATTCCACACCCATAACTTCACTTGCACGCACGCCCCCCCACAACACAACTTTTCTTCTCCTTTCCCTCGACCCCTCTCTTACCCTACCTCCTCTCAGGCGCTCCGAGTGTTGTAGATTCTTCTACGTAATTCTGTAGTTCTATCCTTAGGCATCGACACTAACTACATTGGGTATAGAGAAAGCTATAGCGGAGCGCCTAAAGTCAAACCGGGCTACCTCTATATACCTAATTATTGTTCAATTTACGAAGATTAAATATAGCGTCGCAACTACGCAAAATAGCGGTTTATATCTATAGGTATAGTTATACGTTTTAATATAATCTATTAGATTGCCTATATAAAGTAGTCGCGAAAATGTTAATAGAAGGATTAATTCTTAGTTTTCTAAAACGAGGCGATTATTATTCCCGTTTACTATCTACCCTACCTAGTATTACTTACCTATAAACGGTATATATAGCGCTAAACAAAGTACGTATAGTCCGTCGTATTAACTACCTCTCTAATCTCCGTACTTTAGAATACCTAAAAAGTGTTACTATTGCCTCTATCTCGCTATCTAGGGCTACGCGCTATACTCTTTACTATTTCTTTCTACTATTATAGCGACTATAACTATCTAGCGCTCGTATATATATATACGCGCGCGCGCGCTAGCTGCTTCGTATATATTCTAAGTTTGACCTTACTATCGCTACTTCCGCTACCGCTACTACCCTATCGTATCTATCGCCGATAACAATGCCTCTACTATAGTCTAATATAAGCGAGAAGTAGCGCCGCGCCTAGGCAAAGAAAGAGAAGAAAGTAGCCCTAAAGAAAGCAGCCTAGAAGAAAGACAACTAGCCTATTAGACCTAAGCTACTAGGTCGCGCTACCGTTAGTCGAGAATCGCTAGACTTTAGCTATTTGCTACTAGTCGAGTAGCTAGCTAGAAAGAGTAAATACAAAGCCTAGTTCTAGTAGCGCTACGATAAGATCTTCGATCCTGCGATATTACTTAAGTAAGTATAGCAATTAGTCTACGATACGATACGTACCTTAGAAGCTATTAATATATATCGCGATATCGTTACCTAAGGACTACGAAAGGTTCTCGACAAGATGTATCTAGGCAAGGGCTATATACTAAAGGAATCCTAGATCTATAGTGTCTAGTATTAGCTAGTAACTAGCCCTATATACCTAGGCTAAGTTTTAAGCCTATATAAGAGGCCTCCTTCTACATTGTAGATAGAGTACTAACCTTGTATAGTACATTATTTATATTACACTTCTATAATGCCTATATTGCAGGGCTCTAGTTATTAGCCTAAGCAACCGTCTTGTTATCCTATTATACTAAATATAGCTGCCTATATTGCTATAAGTTATATTACCCTCGGTAGCCTATACTATTACTATAGGTAGTAGTAGTAGTATTAGTTTCCGTCCTTTATTAGAGCCGAAGGTAGGGCTATCTCTTTATATCTAACAGGTTCGGGTATGTTAAAGGTAGTCTATAGGCACGAATAGCTATAACCGAAGCGAGAGCACGATAAGAGCCTATAATACGGACGATACCGAAGTATCTTAAGGGGCTATTACGATAAGTAGAGAAACCTCTTAACGAGGGCATCGCTTTAACCCCGAAAAGCTACAAACCCTTAGGACTATTATAGCTTAGGGCCTAGTCTATAGCTATAGCTAGCTTCTAAGGACTTAGCTCCGGGTCGAAGACCTATTTAGTACCGCTTACTCGAGATAAGCCCCGCCTAAGGAGGAGATAGACTAATTACCTATCGGCCTTGCTTAGTTTGCTAAGACTATTAATTAATAGCAAATACAGCTTGTAGGTCGGATAGCCGGGGAGTCCCCTATTAATCGGGTAGGGCGTTCCTAGATTCGTAGCCTCGCTTAGATAGTGCTTAGCCTTCTACTAGAAAAAGAAGGCTACCGCCCCCCTACCTAGCTAAAGGAGATATAAGCTAGTTTCTAGGATCTAGGTATAAATAGAGATTGTAGTCTCTCCCTTCGAGTAGCTTTCGTCTAATACTAAACTAAGCTCCTAGAGGTAGTTAGGCGACCCCTAGGAGGCTAAATCCTAATACTACCCTAGGGGTAATACTAGGAGAAATAGCCTAATATACTATTCTCTCGCGTAGCAATACTATAACAAACTAAACAAACTAAAGACACTAAAAACATTTATATAGCATTTTATTGCGACTTTATATAGCATTTCATTTTAACAATTTTACTAATAATCGAATAAGCTCTAGCTCTAGCGAAAACGAGTATTAAGAATTAGCGGAATCCTCTAAATCCGAAACCGCCCCTAATCCTATTAACGAAGAAATCAGGCGGCGACTAGTTAATATAAGTAAGCCTCCTACGCCCTCTACGCTAGAGGCGCTCTATAATGTTATTATAAAGATAATAGAGAAGCAAACTAAACTTCTCCGTTAAAACAAGCGTCGCCCGCTAGAACTAGGGAGTACTATAAACCCCTTATTCGAAGGGTGGAACGCTATAGTATATATAGAGCGTTTTAAGGAAGGCCTAATTAAGTACGAGCTCGATAGAGAGTCCGACTAGTATAAGATCTAGTCCCTTGTAAGGACTACTAGCACTAAGCTTTACCGAACCCTTAGAACCCTAGTTAGCTACCTAGAAAAGGACGATAAGTCTAATACTAACTAGGAGATCTTTAAGTTAGCCTTTCTAAGGGAGTATTAGGAGCGCGATAGCCGTCGTATTAAAGGCAGTCGCGCGTAGCTCGAGACCCTCTGCTTTGTAAGGCGCACTAAGGATAACGACCTAAAGGGGTATATCCGCGAATTTGTTAAGTTAGCGGACGGCATCGAGTAGAGTAACCTCGAGAACTCTTAGAGAACGAGGCTACTCCTCTAGGGATTGCTATAGCCTATAGCTTAGCGTATCTTCCGTCGCTATAAGCTTAGCGAGGCTGATCCTAAGAGCTTTAGGAAATACAAAGAGGTCCTAGTATATATTAAGGCCGATATTAATAGTATAGCCGATACGAGGAAGTTTATCTACGGCGAAGACCGGAATAACCTAGCGTAGATTAGGAAAGAAGCCTTAGGAAGCAAGGGACCTAAGTTCCTTCCTAAATCGTAAAGTGGTCCTAAGACTGTAACTCCTACTATTACTAAGCACTCTTAAGACGTCGCGGACTTAGCTAAATCCCTAGCCTAACTAAACCTAAATGCGAAAGCATTATAGCGAGTTAGGGAGGTTATTAATGCTACTATACTAGGCGATATACTACTAGTCTACTAGGTTTCAGATCCTAACTACCCTAAAGCCCTTTTAGTAGATGTCTACGCTATACGGAAGATCTATTCTAACTTAGATAGCAAGTGCTAGATATGTAGCGGGTTCAAATATATCTAATCGTCCTACCCTATCTAGAAAGAGCTTCTTAAAAGGAAGCTTATTATGTAAGTAAAAATGTGCTCCTAGGCGGCTAGCGCGTGCCTAGAGGAGTGCGAGCGAAGCTTTCGCCTTATATATACTAAGCTAATTCGGTTCTTTAGACCTCGAAGCTAGACCTCGAAGCTATTAATATTATTATACGATTTAGTTCTATTAGAATAGTTTATTAGGAATAAGTATTTTTATATTTTTGTATTACTATTTTTCTTTTCTAGTATTTTAGATACTACTTTTTTATTTTTAACTTTATATATATTACTTACTTTTATTCTAGTTTTCTCTAATTTTTTATATCTATTACTACTTTTTATATTATTAAAAAAACTATTTTTAATTTTTTTCTTTAATGTTTTACAGTTTTTCTATTTAGTATCTTACTTGTTTTACTTACCTATTTTATATTTTCTTATTTATTTCTATTATATGTTTTCTTTTTTCTAATACGTCTAAGTCCTCTTATTTATATCCTTATTTATTACTTGTTTTCTATCTTACTACTTAGTTTAGTACTAGCTTATTATTCAGTCTATTAATTAGCTTATTATTTAGTTTATTATTTACTTTGTTCTCTAGTTTTTTATTTAATCTATTATTTGCTTTATTATTTAGTTTCTTCTCTAGTTTATTATTTACCTTCTTTTTCACTTTATTATAAGTTATTTATTTACTAGAATATAATTTATTTTATTAATTGTTTAACTAATTGTTTAACTAATTGTTTAACTAATTGTTTAACTAATTGCTTTACTAAATGTTTAATTAATTATTTAATTAATTGCCTTACTAATTGTTCTACTATTGTTTTACTTATTGTTTTATTAATTGTTTTGTTAATTGTTTTATTTATCGTTTTATTAATTGGTTTATTAATTGTTTTGTTAATTGTTTTGTTAATTGTTTTATTAATTGTTTTGTTAATTGTTCTATTAATTGTTTTATTAGTTGTTTTATTAGTTGTTTTATTAGTTGTTTTATTAGTTGTTTTGTTTGTTGTTTTGTTAATTGTTTTACTAACTAGGATAGTACCCGTACATAAGTACTTCTGCTCCTTCTACTTACGTAGTAATAGCGGTAGCGCCCGCGAGTTTTTAAATTTTATATATACCTAGTATAGCGGAGCCGCGAATTTTAGGGTTCCTCGCTCTTATTCTCGCTCTCGTTCCTTTAATATTTTTCGGTAATTTT